CTAAGCCTACCCCATAATTATCACTAAAAGGCAAATTCCATGCTCGGAAGCTCCAGGCTATCTGGACCAGACTAACTCCCAAGCTAGACCAAATCAGAGTTAAATTCCCAGAGACCCTATAAGCTTTCAAGGGTGCAGGCAGATGGGTCCTTCTCTTCTGAGATAAGCATGGCCTAATAATGTCTTTGGCCAGAGCAAGACTTTTTAAAACACTTAGAATGGCATCACTCCAGAAGAAAGACAAATGAATTCTGAAATTCTAAGCATTTCTTCTATAAATTTGAGCATTTGGAGCATAAAATCTAGGTGTGGTGTCCATCCTTTGAACAAACTTTAGCTATATGTGCATTTACAACAAAAATATAAACTAGTAAAATAAAGCAGGTTGATAAACTTCTTTTAAGCAGCATGGTATAAGAGAAAAGGCAGAAGTCCAGAAACTTCGGGTCTGGTCCTGGCAGTGCCAAACCAGCTGGGTTGCTTGGACTAGCCATTGAACCTTCCAGGGCTCATTTACTTCACTGACAGAAAGGGTTGAGGAGGTAGTTTAGATGTCTTTTAGATCTCTGACAGTTCCAAAATAATAATCATCATTCTAAATTCTACTCAGTGTTGTTGAATGCATGTCTATTAGGCAAATTGCAGGTACTTTTCCTTTATGATTCTTCACACCAGACATTATTCAACCATGTTAAAGAGCTGAATTCTTATTAAGAATTAGCACTAAAAATAAAAAAAGAAAGGATGAATCTACGAAAAAAGTGACCTGGAAATACACAAAGAAGAGGCTTTTGCTTCAACATTTCTACAGAATATGGATCACTTTACATTTTGTACTCAAAGTTTTAAATTCTTTCCCTTAACCAGGAAAACTGAAACAAGTAACAATCACCAACAAGAAACCCCCCAGTCTTGAGCTATATTTGAGAGGGAAGCCTATGCCAAGTGCAAACAAAACTGTTGGCTCTCCTGCTTGCAGGTCCTGAAACTGCAGGAAAGCGGCTCAGGTGTCCCACAGTGATCTGCCCGATCTTGGAGTGACTGCTGAATGATCGCACAGACCTGCCGTGGAATATTCCACATCAAGTAAAAATGAGGGTTAGGCGAAGTTGGGAAAAGTCTTTCTGTATGATTTAAGTGAAAAAGCAGAACAAAAAGCTACTCAATGCTGTGGCACAATTATATAAATGTGGTTGATGAAAGTGCAACAAAATTAAACAGTAATTAGTATCATAATGGTGGGACTATTTTTACCTTTTCTCTACCTAAATTTTCTATAACTTTTTCACTCTTAAAATATTTTTAAATGACCACTGAAGAAAAAAAAAAACCTTAAGCAAATCTCATTCTAATTTACATTATTTCTTTCAAACCCAGCATTTACTTAAAAAAAAAAAAATGGATCTTCCTCCCTGCTTTTTGTTTTTGTCTAAAATTTTTCCCATGTCAGAATTAAAGATATTTTTGGCTACCAACATTGTAGGTCTGTTTCTAAATATCTTAGGTAAAGAATTCAGAAATCAAGCTGGCAGAAATTAGGTCGCTTTGTAAGATATGTATTGGGTTGGCCAAAAAGTCCGTTTAGTTTTTCCATAAAATAAAAGACATGTTTTTCGTTTTCACCAATAACTTTATTGAGTAGGGTATTTTGAGTATGTCAGCTATCTCCTGTTACTCGCTTCTAGTGGGTAGAGGCCTGGGGTGCTGCTAATCATCTTCCAGTGCATAAGACAGCCCCACAGCAAAGAATTATCTGTTCGAAATGTCATTAGTACCAAGAAACTTGACAAACCACTTTTGACAATTTTATCAGTCACAGCACTTTCTCCATAAACTGCATAAATCTTTTTTTGCATTTCGGTTTCATTTTTACCTTTCTTGAAGTAATAAAGCATAATATGCTGAAAATGTTTAAATATGCAACATTAAAGTGGCCTCAGAAAAATTCACCAATTTTGATAAGTATTTTTTAAATGCACACTCATATGACAACTGTCACAATACAATCTAACAAAATTGTTTCAAATGAAATTAAAGACAACTAAGCAGGACTAGAACCATCATACGGAAAAAACTAAACAAACTTCTTGGCCAACCCAATATTTCTCAAACAAAAACAGGGCTTTGGACTGGCTTTAGCAAGTTCCTGAACTTTTCCTGGGAAGGATCCTACAGGCAACAAACACTTATTCTCAAGTTCCTTATCTTCACCCACGTTCATTAACCTTAGTGATCCATCAGCACATGCTTTCTGTAAGATGCTAACAGTAAATATCTTCGGCTTTGTGGCCACACACAGCTACTTAACTCTTGTCACTGCAGCACAAAGGCAGCCACAGACGCTATATAAGTGAATATAACTTTTGACAAAAATAGACAGTGGGCTAGACTGGGCCTGTGTGCAGTCATCTGCCAACCTGTGGTATACAGCACACTAGAGAACATACATAGAATGTGAAGAAATGGCAAAAAGACCTGAAGGACAGCTTGCCCCTCCCAAGTGAATAACCATCAAACCTTATTTTGACAGCTATATTGATGTACAAGAATTCTCTTTGAAAGTGGTGTACTAATGAAATCCCCCCTCAGGATCACTGAATTGGTTCCTCAAATACAGCAGTTCTCAACCATGTAATTAAGGCAGAAATAGCTATAGAATGTGTTGCAATTAAACCACTACTAATAATGCAGTAATGGCTTCCAAATGATTTTTTTAAAAATACGTTTAAAAGGGTAGTTCAACTTTCTCCCTACAGCCAGCACCTGGAAGTTACAGCCAGCCTGGACCTGCACACAACCCTGGTGAGTATGCAGTAGTAAAGGGCCCATATTATACAAATCAGCCTGTTTATGTTTGCCTCAGAAGAAGCCTTAGAGACCACTCAGTCCAGCACTCTCCATCTGAAGATAACAAACACACTCTCAAGCTAACAACTCAAACATGTCAGGTTTGGATCAGTTACGGTCTTATTAATATTCATGAAGGCATACATGAAATCAAACGAGAGGAAGTAGGAGGTAGCCAAGAAGGGCAAGAGCAAGTATGATAAGGCCTCCTACAGCCAAGCTGAATAATTTGCTCAGATAGATAGTCTTCTTTTTATAAACTTTCATTGTTGTTCATCATAGAAAAATATAAAAATGCATAAAAGTAAAAAGAAAAAATAAAGTCCAAATACTACCATGGGGCAATAACCATTGTTATCATTTTGGTTCCTTTCCCTTCAAATCCTTTTTCTATGTATACTTTAAAAAAAAAATGTGTTTAATAAAATTGCTTTCTACTTCCTTTATAAAATATTGTCATGAGCACTTCCCTATATTGTTTAATATAGCTCAAAAATGTAATTTTGTAATGTCTGTATTAAAATTCCATCAAATGGATGAACCATAATTTATTTTAATGTGTCCCGTTGTTGGATATTTAGACCATCTCCTTATTTTTTATGTTACATCAAAAGTTGAAAATAACCCTATGGAAACTGATAAGACTATTTCAATACAGTATTCTCTATTTCTGTATTTGACAGAAGGTATTCCCTAAAACAGTAATACTCTGGGACCCTTCTGATCAGGCATATTACATTAGTGATCACATGAAGAGACATGGGGGCACTGGACCCATGTACTGGAAAACTGCCCATCTGAGTGAGTCCTTGAACTTCTTTGCTGAAGGTAGATTAGGCAGTAGAATCAACAACCACAAGTGGGGCCCCAGTGAAATAGTATAAAACTGAGCCTTGACTGCTCTCTCTGCAATATCTAACAGAGGAAAATTGTTTTGAGTTGACTGTTATTATTAAAATTGTTTAGGAAAAAAGATATCCAAAGCTTTTATTTTATAGCATACAGTAAATTTGTGGTAGAGTTGAATTAAAAGGTCAACTAACTGGGCATCTAGAAGAGGGTTCTCTGCTGAGTATTTTTTCCTGCAGGGCACGATGGGCAGAATGTCCTACCAAACATATGAGGATACCAACCTGGCATCAGCAATAGCATAGTATGTTACCAGAAGTGGCTGGGGGCTATAAAGTTTCAAGAGCCTTTAGCAATAGAACCTAAATATGTTTCCCTTAATCTAGCTACCAATCAGAAAATTAAAACAAATTAATAATCTAGTTTATATAAGTTATAACATTGAAAACCTTCCCTCCTAGAATATATTGTCTGCTCTTAAGCAAGCCAAAAGGAGAGGAATATAAGATAACTTTGTGGAGGGAGTTACAATTGCTCTCTTGAGCTATATATAAAAAGAAGCTCCAGTTCAGATCCCAGTTTCCAAATTGAAAGATATAAGGAAAAAGGAACATAGGTATTTTATAGAACATATAAAAATATGAAATACAGCAAAATTAAGACTGAGCCAGTTAAGGCAATAAAACAATGTTACTCTTTTAGTTAAAAATGCAAAAAGGAACATATCTGATTAAAATCCACATCTAACATTGTATTTACCTATGTAACTTTTAGGAAGAGATTACTTTTCAAACCTAACTTTTCTAGAGTTATTTGGGGAATAATTTGCATATCAGGTAGAAAAACAAAAACAAGCACCAGGTGGTATTGCCACCACCCCATAGGTATCTATCAGACAGAGATTTGCATCAACAAGACACACACCCTTCTTTTTGTGTCTATACCACAAGAACTTTGGATATGCAAAAATAAAAGGACAAAGTTTAAAGATGTGTTTCTCAACACCACTAGAAAATCAGGTTACATGTAAATTTGTTAAATGTAGAAAGTAATCATTTTCTCCTCTAACTCAGAACACTAGAAAGAGCTAGAGTCAATGCTTTAGGACAGTGGCATTGGGTGGCCTGCTGGGGTGTATTTCAAACCCTTGTGAAATAAACTCTAAAACGTCAAAGGCCACAGAGTTAATAATCACAGTATCTAATCACAAACAATTCCACAGGCCCATCTGGAAACGTTTGTTTTTCAAGACCTAAGTTAAGTTTATTGGAAAGTGCTGGTAAGGACACAGCAGGCACACTTACCTTACCAGTGCATCTGGTTTGCTTAGCTGGTTATTAGGAATACAGTTTTCCATTAAGTCCTTGTGTGTACTTGGGCTCTTACTAGTACATTTCTGCTTCTTCTCATTTTTACTAGATGAAGAAGGAATGCTCCCATTTGTGGCGCTGTGACTTCGAGGTGAGGAGTTCACAACTCCACTCGCATTTTTGTAATTTTTTGAGGAAGCAGTGCATGAGTCCTCTTTCAAGAGGTTTTCTGTACTTCCTACAAGATCATTATTTAATCTTTTACTATTGATGTGGTTTTCCATATACTCAATTTCTTGTATTTTAGAGTCTACAGGTTGTAGAATGTTGTTGTTGTTTATTCCAAGGTTGTGTTTTTTGGCATCCTTGTCCTTTTCTTTCCCTTTCTCTCGGTATTCTATCTCTGGCAAAGTCGTGGAAAGTTTTTTGTTGGCTGGGATACCTCCATTGTGGTGTATAAGGATCGAGGAATCCATATCAGGTAATCCTTTGGCTGCTACAATACCAAAAACAAACCAACAAACAGAAAACCCACACCGGAATATTTAGTTGTATAAAAACACAGAGTAGACTGATTCAACAAACCTCATTATCTACACTTAGAAACTCACTGCTTTAATTTGCAAACCTCATTTAGAAGCAGTAGCTACACCACATTATGCTGACTTCAAGAAGCAAATCCAAATAAATTTGAGAAGCTGAACATTCAGAAAATTACCATCATTTATAAACCCCAAGCCATTAAAGGTTTTGCCTCAAAAATAAGATGAGGATTTTACAATTAAGTCACACTTCACTTACCAGTCAAATCAGACATGTCTATCACTGGGGTGAGAGGACATAGGCAGGTCATATTCTTAAGAGGCCATATTTTAAAAGATGCTTAAATTAAATAAACTTAATAACTTTATTGAAAAGAGAGAGATTAAATGAAACAAAAGAAGTGTGATGTTAGAATCCTGCCCTGGCTAAGGGCAAGATAATGTAGCCCTGGCAGGTGTGGCTAAGTGGACGGAGTGCCTGGCCTGCAAACTGAGAAGTCACTTGGGGCACATGCCTGGGTTGCAGGCCAGATCCCCAGTTGGGGGTGTGTGAGAGGCAATCATTCTATGTTTCTTTCCCTTTCTCCCTCCTTTCCCCTCTCTCTAAAAATACAGAAATAAAATCTAAAAAAAATAATAATAATCCAGGGTATCTACATTTAAAAAAAATATTTTATTTACTTTTAGAGAGAGGGGAAAGGAGAGGGAAAAGAAGGAGAGAAACTTCAATGTGCCAAAGATACATCAATTGCCTCTTGCATGTCCCCAACTCAGGACCTAGCCCGTAACCCAAGCATGTGCCCTGACTGGGAATCGAACTAGTGACCTTTGGTTCACAGTCTAGTGCTCTCAGTCCACTGAGCCACACCAGCCAGAGCTACATGTTTTTTTCTTGACTCTAGAGTTGACATAATAAATAAGTCTGTATCATTTGCTAGGTTACTTATACAAAATTTTCTGTATTAGGTCTATACATTCCAATTTGTCAAAGTCCACTTGAAGAGGTATTTTTACACCACACTGGAGAATAAGATTTGGCATATATCAACTAAAAATATGGCCCCAAATTTCCAATTCTCAAACAAACAAACAAAAAATTGCTGTCAATTCATCTACTGAATTGATTATATGCTTATTAGAGAAATCCTTATAGAAAAGGTTCAAGTTCCACAGTGTATTATATGAACGATTTAAAATGGAACTTACCCATCTTTGCTCTATTCAGAAAAATTTTGACTTATAAAACAATTTTGTTTGTCTACTTCTCTATCTTACTTATGCTTTGATTCTTGGCTCGCTTCAGCTACAAAGTCACATAATTATACATACTATTTTGCTACTGAGAATAAATACTTTAAAATATTTATAACAAATAAAATACCAAAATATTAAATAAGCTATAAAAATAAAATATTTAAACATATTTAAAGGCACAAGGTCTTCAGAAACTGGATAGAAAACATTACCCACACTCTAGTTCATGACCAAACAAAGCAATAGCCCTAAAAAGAAATACTAGAAAACAGGAAATCCTTGGTAAACTTCCAAAATCTTAGCAACTTTTCAAAAAAATAAAAAATAGTCCTGCTATATAACAATGACAAATCTATTGAGCCAACAGCTTCAGGGTAAAGACCTACCTTCCTCAGACTCTTTGTCTTGCTTCTGTAGCATCTGTTGCTCTGGGGGGAGGGCTTGCTGAAGAAGTTGCATGTAAAATTCGTTCTCTTTCTGCACTTCCTTTTGCTTCCTTAACCGCATTTTGTAGCTTACATAACTTTTGAAGCCAAAGCCCAAAGTTACCACAGGGTACCCAATACTAGAAAGAAAGACAATCCAGCCAGTAATTCCAAGTTAACAATAAAAAACACGTGCATCAAGTACATGAGGACGCCTATGACTGAAATTAAGAAATCAATTTTAGATAATGATGATAGTTGAACATTCAGTAAACACATAAATAAATGTGATGTCTGCTGTGGAAATCAGAAGCAGTTGGCACATAGAACAAACCCCTAGGAAATAGTAAGACTGTTAGATATAAGGCTGGCCATCAGACTTTGGCATCCTTCAAACCAACTCAAGAAGTTACTAAGTGATTGTTGGATACAGCAGTTAAAGTTGATTAACGTTGAACTGCCTTGTGCATTATTAGAACTTGGGCATCTGTATGCTTTTAAGATCTAAAAGGGTAGAGATTTCATAAGTGCTCATAAGGAAACATTAAAAGTGTTAAAAAATAAAAAAGACACCTTTTGGTTTTTAATACCAGAAGATAGGATCAACTTCAGGTGACTAATTTAATCTTCTTGTCTGAGGTACTATCACCAGCTATTCCTGGAAAATTATTTCATAAACAGCTCATCATTTAAATAAGTATCTGATATTATCAGTTTGCGATACCAAATTAAACCATCTGTACTTACAACTCTAATCTCTGGGATAAAAAATTGAAGTATTTTCATTCAACTCATGAGTCTGTTTCAAAGCCTCTGCAAGCACTGTCAAAACTCTATTAAACTTTAATAATTTTAAAACTTATCAATCATAATTAGTCTAAAAGTGACCTCACTATTGATTTCAGTGACAAGTTTTTTTGATCAGGTTTATTTACTTCACTTATTTGTGAAATGACTTTAAAACACTGTTAACTATTTTTTTCAGTTGATTCCTGTTTATTGTGGTTTCTGCCATAAGTATTAGCAAAAATTGGTGTCTTTAAAACAAACACACATTAAGTGGTGATTTCCAAAATAGATATAAAGAAGAATCAAGCTCGTTTTAAAGACTGTTTCACCTGCCCTGACTGGGTGGCTCAGGTGGTTGGAGCCACCTGTATACCAAAAGGTTATGGGTTTGAGCCCCAGCCAGGGCACCTATGGAAGGTCACCAGTTGATTTCTCTCACACCAACGTTTCTCTCTTCCCCACCTTCCTCGCTCTCTAAAATTAATAAAAACATCTCCTGTGGTGAGGATTTTTAAAAAATGTTTCATGGTTGAGGTTAAATGAATAAAATATCTTAATATTTGTTTATATTTCATTAGAAAAAATAATGTTCCTTTAAATTTTATTAATAATATTCTCTTGCTTTTGAAAATTAGCTTGGAAAATTACATTCATTTAAGCTTTATGAAATAGCCATATATTTTACCAAGACTTTTGGAATCAATATCTGATTATAGTAAAAATAGGTAAAATTTATCAGAAACCTATGTAGTTGGCATTAAGTTATACACTTTAAGCCCGGGCTGGGTAACTCAGTTGGTTAGAGTGTCATCCAGATACACCAAGGTTGCGGACTGATCACTGGCCCCGTTAAGGGTCAACCAATGGATGCATCAAAGAGTGGAACAATAAATCATTTCTCTTTCTCAAACTCTCAAATCAATTAAAAAAAATAAATACATTACATATATCACTTCATTTCATCTTCCCATGACCCCATGAGATAGGTCCCCAATATACAGGTAAGAGAACTAAAGCTTAGAGATGGTGACATGCCCAAAGCAACAAAGCTGTTAGGGGACAGAGCTAGGATTAAAACACTCATCTGCCTAAATAGAGGCCTCACGCTCTTTACCAGCACATTATGTGGCCTTCTGGGTTCATGTAAAATCTCTAAGAAAAAATTTACAATGAACTTAGCATTTACCTTAAAAACATTGAATTGTATATTAAGAATACACATAATACTCACCAGTGAGCAGCAAATGGACGACAAAGGTCTACATGAAAATTTTTAAGATCTTTAAATCTAATTGCTGCTTCAATATAAACAAAGAGTATCCAGAGAGACACAGTGGGCAAACACACTCCCCTTTCTGTGGGAAAACAGCAGAGAGACAAACATCAATGATACAGTAACAGAAAGGTTGTTTGAAAGAATAGTTCAACTACAACAAGTTCCATTAAAGCTTTTAAACCAATTAAAAAGCAATTTAATTCAAACTGAAAGCTTTTATATAACCAAAAATACTATGGAATCATAGGCAGAAATGAAAGACAAAGATTCTGGCAGAAAATATTTATAATATATGTAAAACAAAGAAGTTACAACCCTGGCATACAAAGAGCTCCTATAAATCAATGGAAGGGCAATAAATGCAAGTAAAAAAGAAAACACATAGAAGGCTATAAACTTATGAAAAGATGCTCAACTTCACTACTGATTAGATGACACAAACTTTAAAAATAACATTCCATTTTTTTAACCTATCAGATAAGCAAAAATTTAAAAATCATGTAATAGTATAGGGAGAATATGGGAAAAGTTCATTCTCATACTTGGCATTAATAGAAATTGAGACAAACTTTTTAGAAGGCAAGATAGCAGTATAATGAAATTTAAAATATTTATATCTTTGACCTAGAAATTCCAATTCCAGAAATTTACCCTACAGAAATATAAAAGAGCCATGGGATAAATGTATAAGAATATGTACTGTATTATTATTACAGTAGTAAAAATATAGAATTTAAATGTCCATCAATAGGGAACTGTTTAATTTTGGTTAATCTATATAATAAAACATAATGCAGCTTTCAAAAGAATGAAAATTTGTGCTAATATGAAGTTATATATAAAAAGGTTATTAGCCCTGGCTGGTGCGGCTCAGTGGACTGAGTGCTGGTCTGTGCACTGAAAGGTCGTTGGTTCAATTCCCGGACAGGGCACATGCCTGGGTTGCAGGCCAGGTCCCAGGTTAGGGGAGTGCAAGAAACAACTGATCCATGTATCTCTCGCACATTGCTATTTTTCTCCCTCTCTTTCTCCCTCCCTTTCCCTCTGTCTAAAAGTAAATAAATAAAATCTTTAAATAAATAAATAAGAAAGAATGAGTTACAGCACAAAGAAATGTTTCTGACATTTAAGTACTGTTCAAAATTTATTTTCTTAACTACAAGCTCATATTCCTTTTGTAATTAAAAACAATTTCCAAGGGAGTAAAAAGCAATCTGCAACTGAATAAATAAAATGCAAATAATGGAATAATTTTCATTGGTTTTAGAATCAATATCTGCAGGCTAGGTCCATCTTTGTCAGGAAGTAACTAATAATGGGGTATTTTACAAACATAGGCTACATAGGCACGAGGTCCAGCAATGGTGGAAAGAACTCCTTTGACACTGTATAAAGCAAGCAAGTTACAAAGGAGAGAATAGGAGGGAAAAAATTAGTGACCTGAAGGATTAAAGGGCTTTTTGCTAAGAATCTTCAGGATGAAAAAAACAAAAAAATCATAGAATTTTGGAACTAGAAAAAAGATAATTTGATTCAACTTCCTTGTTTTATTGAAGAGTAAAGCAAGGTCCAGAATTTATACAAATTGGGTCCAAGTTTATAGAGATAATACACTCTGCTTCTAAGGAAAATAAACCTAAGTCCCCTTAGACCTAGTCTGTAAAGAAGGAAGACACTCCCAAGCACTGTGAAGGCAGCTAATGGACTCAATCATTCTTATGATTTAACATGTTATGATTTAACACACATGAACACATAAAAAGGTATTTTTACAATGTAAGAAGATACAAATAGCAATCTTTAGGATAATGCATTTTCAAATTCATTTTGTAATGCCTTTTCAAAAATTAATTTCCAAAATTGTCACAAACATAATAAACACTTTACAGAAAAAAAAAAAATAGAAAAATTTGGACAAAATACTAGTATTTCTAAACTTATCAAATAATATGATAAAACTATGTTGAAAAATATTTTTTGAACAAGTGTAATAGTCATGTTGTACATATAGTTTTGAATCCTATTTTTTCCCTCTTAACAGCAAGGAAAGAAGTTTATAATATTATCTTAATTTCATCAACCATTTCTAATATTCTTAAGAAAGAATTTCAAATTTTAACAACTGGAAGAGAAATTAATCCCCAGTTATATAAATTGCACCCATATCTGTTGGGCCCAATAAGAACACAAAGTTTGTTTTGTTTGTTTGTTTGTTTGTTTGAGCACTAATCATTCCTAATTAAAACGTACTTCACAGCTTAGCTATTCCAACACACATTTCTGAGCCTAGGGCTAAAGAGAGGCAATGTCATTTATGACATTAGCTTCGTTGCTGCCCTATGAGTCACCCACTGAACTCATTCCCAATAGGTTCTATTAATAGTTATATGAGTATTTTTTTCCCAACTACTGAGACATTATTAAAGTAACTTAGGGAATCATTATACTTCATCAGAGTCACAGATTATCTGAGCTGGATGGCTCCCTTAAACATTATCTAGATTACTCCACTTTCATATGACAAAGAAAAAATTGAGACCTAGAGAGAATGAGAACTGTAAATGGCAACTCATTTGAAATTGAGGCCCAAGGAAAAATGAGTGAAAACTGGTGTGCAGAAAAATCACTTTAATTAAAGGAACAAAGATTAAGAAACCGTCATGCTAGCTTACAAATCAAGTCATACATGAAAGACTGGTAAAGATGGAGATGGAGAACACCGTGCTCACAGTAGATGCTTTAAATAACAGCTGAATTGTGTTTTCTACATGGGCCAACATCATTCTCTCAGCACCCTTGAGAAGAGGATGTATGTTGCTCCAGAGAGCTTTTATTAGTTGGCGCTCCCTACGTGGTCAAAATCCTACAGGTTACAGCTGGGCCTAAGAATCAAGTTTTATGCAGTTTTGCAGGCAAGTTAAATGATCTGAGATGAGAGTCAATCCTCACATCCCTGTGTATCCCACATTCAGGCTTTCACAGTGGAGGGAAGCTGTCAAAACATTTCCTCTCATCTTAGTTTGAAAGAGCAATATAGCTCTAAGCAGAAGGGCAGTGACTGTGTAACTCCCCTCAAGTTAGAACATTGTAAATTTTGGTTAAGAGAACCACTAAGAACTAGAGAGACCATGATGGTGAAGTGCTTAAACTAACACGTGAGGAAAAGCTGATGAAACCAGAAATGTTTTGCCTACAAAAGAAAAGGCAACTTGAGAGGATACAAGGTCTTTAGCTCTCTAAAGAAATATTAACGTGTATGGGAGTTACACTCATTCAATGTGGCTCTAATGTGGGGGCAGGGTGGGGCGGGGGGGGGATCCAATGTTAGGCCTTAAGGAAATGGCCTGTAGGCTCCTTGATATATTAAGGAAAAATTTTGTACACTCCCATGTATTTTTTCTGGGGAAAGCCTTTTTATATCTTCTAAGAGATCAGTGAGCCCCCAAATAGTTAAGACCTACTGCGTCAAAAGTGTAAGGAAGAAAATTCTGGCTCAATATGAGAACTTCCTGTTACAGTTGCCCAAAAACAACAGTAGTAAGTTCCTTATCATCATAGGTTTTCAATCAGAGATTAAACACCATAAGCAAAGGATGCTGTGGGGATTCTTGTACCAAAGAAGACTTCAACTAATTAAACGTAAAAAAAAAAATGATGATGAGACAGTGACAATCAAGATATCAAATCATAGAAGCTTTAACTTTTGACTCAATAATGAGAAAAAGATAAAATATATTTTAAAGGTACAATTTATTATAATCTATTAGAAAAAGACAATTTTAAATTGTCCCCATTAAACTCAATTCTAAATAATTTATTCAAAGATTAATCACATTTAAAAAGTTTGACTCTCAAGATTTCTGTCCATCTAAGAAACCATTAAGACTTACCTGTGTGCCATACATACTGAACCCATACATATGTGCTAGCAGCAAAAAAAAGCCATTGTATGGGGATGAACAGCAGACATATTATATTTGATGTGAATGCTACACAAACAAAAAACACTGAGAAGGCCTAAAGGAAAAAACAAAACACATCTTAGAACTTGTTATTTTCAAACAGAGATTAAAAGCATGTTGGACAAAATCTCTAAAATTTCCATGCAATAACTACAGAGCAAATCATAACAAGAAATTTTAAACATTTAAAATCAACCATATAAAAAGTGGTGGTTAATTTAATATTAAAGAGTAATCCTATTTATGGCCTCAAAACATGAAGAATAACTGGACTAGAACAAATTGAAGTCAGTTCACAGTAAGTTTACCCGGACTCCACAAGTGGGTTACCTAAAGACTGGAATTTTAACACAGAAAAGGCTCCTCTCCTCACAACACATTCCTAAAGAGCCTCATTCTTAAAGGGTAGGCTGCTGGAGTACAGATGAACCATACTAGTACTAAGAATTATGCTGATGTTAATGATTTTAATACTGCAGCCTTCCTCAGGACACACCTCTACCTATTACCAGTGGGACAAGGAGCTCAAAGCCATCTTTTGAAGGCATGGATTTGTTCTGACCAAAGCACCAGGCCCAGGTAGAAGAGTTACAGGTTTAAGATGTGGCTATGTAACACAACAGAACCACAAAGTCAGTAGTTCTCAACACGTGGTCTGGGGGTCCCTGGGGTTTTTTTTAGCAGGTCTTCCAGGTCAAAACTATTTTCATAATAATACTAAGATGTTATCTGCCTTTTCCACACTCATTCACTCAGGAGTATGGTGGTGTTTTCCAGAAGCTACATGATATGTGATATTGCAATCAACTGAGTTCAGAGGCAGATATGAAAATCCAGCGGTCTCCCATTAAGCCAGACATTATATAAATTTGCAAAACCGTAGTCAATCACCCAAATTTTTGTTTTGGAAAATGTATTTCTCATTTAAAAAATTTAATTTGTATTAACAGGTAATGAATTTGTTGTTATTTTTTAAGTGAATTAATAAATATTCAAGTTTTTATTTTACTTTCTAATATAGTAATATGGATAGATATAACCCACATAAATAAAAGCTCTTTGGACTCCTCAATAATTTTTATGAATGTAAACAGTTTCTGAGACCAGGATGTTTGGGAAGCACTGCTCTAACTCCAAGCCAATCACAAACACAGTGATAAGGGCTCAAGAAACACTTCAGAGTAGAACTGGGCAGTCATTCTTCCTCCACTACTCTGCTTCCCTCCTGAAGTCCTCCTTCTCTCCCCTTCTTTTCACTGCAATGATAAAGGAGGAGGGATTATGATTTAGTCAATGAGTTTAGACAAAAATGAGGCCAGGTTCAGTCCATAGGTCCCATTTAGTTCAATACAGTCACCTAAGTATAACTAATAAAACCTACTTTAAACAGTTTCATTATCAGTTATTGAAGATTTTCTTAGAAGGGTTATAAAATTCATGTATAAATAAACATACCAGTCCCTGATATCTGAAGGAATCATAGACACTTCTGATGAAAAGCCAAAATGGCCACAGGTATTCAAATCTGAACTCCAGGACAAAATCTGCCAGAAGGACAAGTGCCCACACTACCAAAAATTTCAGGTATAGAAATGTACTGCAAAATATAAAAATTAAGAATTAGTTCAAAGTCATTGTGAAGAACTAGAAAGAGAAAAACACATTGTTTTGCTTAAAGGAGACAAAAAAATACCTTCATATACCATGAAAACAATGGAGATAAAGGACAAAAAGAGATGCTACTGTGGCCCATCTCAATTTTAATACCTCTGGTGTTCATTCTGGGACCCACAACTATCAAAATAAGATGATGACCAAATATACTTATTTCCATTTAAGATGGGAAAAAATTAAATCTCACTACTATTTTAAAATGTGCTAAGTGTCTAACTTCAAAACACTGCAACTCTCAAAATTACAGTGCTCAAGCTGTTCTTCATTAGAAGAAAATGTCACAGTTGAACGGCTTCAAATTTGCTATTTCCCTACCCCTCTACACCTGTTTGAAGTCTCTGAAATTCTTGCTGTATAACCCCACATGCTTGAAGAATCCTGTCTCCCCCTTCCCAGCCCCTCTTCTCCTCTTGCCTCTCTCTGTAGTTTTCATCTGCATTAACCAAATTAAAAACAAATGACTTCCCAAAAAAGCTGGGACCAGCTTAGGGAGCAGATGCCAACACTAAGGGCTGTGAGGGCACAAAACATATACATTAAAGAAAAAATGCTAAAGCACCCCAGCCTTGCTCTGTAAATGTGTGCTACTGGTTCCCGCTGGACTTACGGTAAATAGAAACACCCTTTGACCAGTCAGAACATATATCTAACCACTGCAGAACTCAAAACAAGGTAAGGGAATGGATTTAAAAAATTATTTTTTATGTAATCTCAAAGTCCATTCTTCTAGTTTATTAACTGTATAATAGATAATAGAAGTCTTCAGATTCTACCTATGAATAAGCCCCTAATTCTATGTCCTTAACCTTATCAATTCTGCAACAGGTTAAATTTAGGATTTTTTAAAAAACTTTTCTAAAACAGATGGATTGGAAATAAAATGCACTTTCACTTAGGCTAGAACCATGCACAGTGTTTTGCAATACAAATATTCCAATAATGATGTGATTAAATTAGCTGTTTGTAGAGATACCAGCAACAACAAAATCAAGACTTTTAATAAATAACTTTGAAATAAAGTAAAGTACAAAAAGACTTTTATACCTGGGTGAGGGGAGGAAACAAGAAAAACAGGACCCAGCACTGAGGACTCTTTCTATGCCCTCTGAAGCTACGCAGGAAAAGATGTCAAGAACAGACACATACGGCCCTCAATGATATAGTATCACAATGATATGCATAATTTGCAACTAGGGTCAATTTCTAATACTAGTTCTTGGTAGAACTCTTTGGGCTTGACAATAAGTTTCAATTAAGAAGTTTACTGTAGAATAGAGGAAACAAAGGCAAACCAGGAGAACACAGACTGGAATCGTAAATCCTACCTTTTAGTTTCATTTCACTAGAGTCATGTTAGCCAGATGAGGACAGGGCCCTCATTCTCACTCATTAAATCCCATCACTGGTCCAGTGGAGAGCAAGGCATATTTTATTGGAAGGAACTGAATCACAAAGGCATTTGGAAGCGCAAATAAAGTCTGCAGCTAGATTGCCAAGCTTCTTGGCTTTAAAACTAAAAGAATTTTTCCCTTGTCTCTCGAATTGTTTCTAGGTTCCAAAGAATAAATACTAGCTCTTCATCCATGTTTCTACGGCATTTAAGAAACGGCATTAACTTCTCTGAGGAATCCTTTTTTTCCATGGGGCTGCTTCTGGAATGTAGCTGTATCTCATGTCTCTAGTCATACTATTCTCCAGATGGAGAAGGTAGAGTACTACCAACTGTTCTCTTCCCCAAATGCTCCCAAGGGATGGCAGTATCCCAGTCTAACCGGCAACATTCCGTATCATTATTTAGATAATATTGACTACAGAACAGCAGTCTGTATTCAATCATTTAAATCTAAGCCAATATAAAAAAGGTTGTTTTTGTTACAGTGACTCCTCTTTTTCTTTTTAGGTTATATTGATTTATTTTTTTTATTTGATTTTTAGAGAGTGAGAGGAAAGGGGAGAAAGGGAGAGAAAAAAATTCATTTGCTATTCTACTTATTTACGCATTCACTGGCTGATTCTTGGATGTGCCCTGACAGGGACTGAACTTGTAACCCTGACTTATGGGGATGATGTTCTAACCAACTGAGTTACCCTGCCAGGGCATGATTACTCTTTTTCAATTCTGTAACTTCATTGGGATTCCCTTTTACATATTTCATTCCTTTTCAAACAACTACTCTCATACCTTTGATGTTCCTTGACACCCAGTTCTTACTGAGTCACAGTTTAGAAGTACAGGTATCTAAGGAAACTTCATTTTTCACAAACATATGCTATACCCTCAGCTTTCCTCAGGCCCTTTTAGGTGGGCCTGTATCTAAAAAATCAAGATGTAATCTCGTTAACAAAGTTGATTTTACTCGAGGACAAGTCTTGAATTCTATTAATTTTGTCTCATAAGGTTTAAAAAGTTTTATGACAATTGCCTGATTCAGTATTCTCTTAGCCCTCTTTACCAGTAAATTATTCCTATTATCCTTCTATAGGTTAATGTACAAAAGTTAAAAGACATGTAACCTAAAATGACTGCTCATCATCGTAGAAACCCTAATTCCTTTCTTCAAATATACTGAAGGTCATATGATTTTGTGAAATCCAAAGAAATGACATCCTAAAAGGGGAAAAAGTAGATCAGTTTTTAAGCCATTACAGATTTCAAAATGTTTCTTTTAAACTAGGAAGAAAGTATGATTAAATATAAAATATTTTATACATACAGTTCATAATATGACAGGCTAACTTGATGTTACTTTAATTCTCCAATCCAAATAAGTTTACTAAGAACTATAAAACATCTGAAATGAAAAATTAACAGCATAACTGCAACAAAAATATATTTTTCATAATGATATATGAAACAAGGGCAGACCAGTAATGTCTTTTGATGGTCTTATAAGCTTCTATTCTGGGTTCCAGTGAAATAAAGAGACATATGCAATTAATGGGCTTAATGATGGTGACTCTTTCAAAGTGGATATTAACTATGAGGTTCCTTCCCCCATTCTATTCCTATCTTTGCCATTTACGATCATTTTTTTTACCTGAATCTATATAGCAGTACCCTCCATCTACGGATTAATGATCTATGAATAATGAAAACTAGTATGGAACATTCTTCCTTTTCCAAGTAAAGTGCACCTTCCTCTCTAGTATCTCTAGCTCCTTGTCTCTTAGATCATTTTGTGGAGTCCACATAATTACCATGAGGACCATGGTCATCAATCCTCAGTACCTGACCTTTTCTCTAGCAGACTAATGATCATTTAGTTCACTTGGTCCTCACCACAGAAATAACTCTGTGGAATATTTCACTGGCTGTGCTAGTAGCCATCTATCTCAATCCCTAGCTTTTCTGTCATCTTTGTAATAGTAATAGTGAATCGCTTTTAGCTTTCTGTAGGTAGCACAATGCTTGCACCAAACTGCTTTGTCTTCTTTGTTTTCAAATATTCCTCCCTATTGGCCATGGCTAGTGTGATTCAATTGGTTGGAATGCCATCCCGGAACCAAAAGGTTGCATGTTTGATTTCTGGTCAGGGCACAAACCTATGTTGTGGATCCAAGCCCCAGTTCGGGTGCATACAGAGGACAAGCAATCGATGTTTCTCTCTCACATTGATGTTTCTCTCTTCCTTTCTCTCTAAAAGCAATGAAAAAAAAATGCCCTCGGGTGAGGATAAAAAAAAAAGAAATATTGCTCCCTATTGGACATACCTCTAGAATATTCATCTAGCCTTTTATCCAACTGGACCAGCAGCATAAGCATCACGTATAAGCTTTTTAGGAAAGTGGTATTTCAGGACTCAGTCCAGGCTTGTTTAATATAAGCCTATATTTTAGCCAGATTCCCTGGGCCATTTGTGCATACATTAAAATTTGAGAAGTACTGGTCTATAGTATAAGCTTCTCATTGTCATGGAACTTGACTGAATTTCACACTGTCTCAGAAACAAAACGATGATTTACTCAGATAATCAGTACTTATCTCCAAACTGTTAGGTGCACGTCTCTCAACTGGGAATATTTAAATCGTCCAGGGTTAATTCTTCCATTTTTCTACATTTCTTTCTGAGCCACAGAAAAAATCCCTAGCTAAGTACAATTTAAACTACATGGGGTACACTTCCATTACTACTCACCCTTTAGCACATAGCATAAACATCACTTCCTCAACAAAGCACTCCCTGACTCCAAAGTAAAGACAGTTATCCCATTATATGCTCACATAGCATGTTGTGCCATAAGAATAGTCAAAATTATAATTAAATAACATTCTGTGTAATTAAGTGTTTAATGTAAAGTCCTGCCCATTTTGTTCCCTGCTTCATCCTCAGGGTCCAGCACAGCACCTTGCACACTGCAGATGTTGACCAAATGGCCTGCAATGCACAGGAGTGTTTAGGATCAACGGCAGGGCTTTTATCAAAGTACACTCACAATGAAGGTAGAGAGAGATAATGCACAGGTGACACACTGGGAAGGGTGCCTAACAAAGCAGCATCAACAAACATAATGAACACAGCTTCTACCTGAAGGATTACCAAGCACATTCCCGCAATCTGTTCTGACTATTCTTTAGGAAGAAATGAATCTAATCAGCCTTGCTCTGGATGCCAAACTATCACTTCATCTGGCCCACCTGCCACTGGTTCTGACTATAATCAGAATTTTAGAATTTCTCCTTCAAAAACACTTGCAACAGTGTGAACTCTATGGGGTTTGGGATGGAGAGGGGTTAAGAAGCACATCAGGAGAAAACAACCCACAGGGCCTAAAAAAACTGTTAATGTATAAACATTAGAAATTCATTTCATAAGCGAAACAAGTGTCACACTTCACATCTTCAATGCCAACCACACCTGCATTTATATCACACTTGTAACTTTTTGAAGTGCTTTCATATTAATTATCTCATTTTATCCTTACAACTGCGAAATAGGCAGGGTAGTTATTACCATTTTATAGAAAAGAAACTTGAGAAACAGGAAACTGATAGGCTGAAGGGCACTACTGAAAGAGCATAGAAATGGGATTTAGGAAACCACAGAGGACAGAGTGAATTCTACATAAAATGCTATGTTGCTGCTAAAAAAAAAATTTTTGAGGTAAAACAAATGGACAAGAGACTGAGTATAAATGCCAAGAAAGTTTTATGTGAAAAGGAATCCTATTTTTTCTAAAGAAAGAAGTACATATTTGCTTATATAGAAAAAAAGGAATTATACTTAACAAATTATATAACAGTAATAACCCCAAAGGAGGTGTACTAAGGTCTATTATATTACACTTACACATGTCGTATTGCTTTAATATTTTTTATAATAAGCATGTGTTATTATTTTTTAACTCTTCATTTTGAAGTCATTTTAGACTTAGAGAAAAGTTGCATAAATAGTACAAAGAATTCTCTTACATCTTTCAGCTAGACTTTACAAATAATAAAATCATTTTATCAAGTTTCTCTTATTATTCTGTCCCTATATATGTATACATATTAATTTTTCCTAAACTATTTGAATTGTAGACATAATGGTCCTTTACTCCTAAATTTCATGAAAACAAGGACAATCTCTTATCACCACAGCACAATTATCAATATCAGGAAATTAAAATTATTATAGTATTGGGTTGGCCAAAAAGTTCAGTTGGTTTTTCCATAAGATGGCTCTAGCAGCGCTTAGTTGTCTTTAACATCATTCAAAACAATTTCGCTAGACAGCTGTCATAATCAGCATGTATTTAAGAAAAAAACCTCACCAAATTGATGAATTTTTGTGTAGCCATTTTAATATTGAAGATGGAAGAAAATAAGCAACAATTTTGGCACATCATGCATTATTATTTCAAGAAAAGTAAAAATGCAACTGAAATACAAAAAAAGGTTTGTGCAGTGTATGGAAAAGGTGCTGTGATTCATCGAACATGTCAAAAGAGGTTTATGAAGTTTCATGCCAGAGATTTCTCGCTGGACGATGCTTCGTGGTCGAGTAGACCAGCTGAAGTTGACAGCGATCAAATCAAGACAATAATTGAGAACAATTAACATTATACCATATGAGACATAGCCAACATACTCAAAATATCCAAATCAACAAAGTTATTGATGAAAATGAAAACTGTGTCTTTTATTTTACAGAAAAAACCATGCAGACTTTTTGGCCAACCCAATACTTATTCAAATTTTAGTAATTGTCTCACTAATGTCCTTTATATCAATAGGTAGGAAGACAGATAGATAGATAGATAGATAGATGATAGACAGATGGATGATTGATAGATCCTGGTCCAGGATCACATTCATTGTTGTCAGGTCTATTTGGATTTCTTTTGTAAAGAGGAAAGATTATCATTTTGAGAAGGAAAAAAGGTTAATGGCCTTGCACAAGACACTCTTGGTACCTGTTGCTTCACCTGGAAAATGAAGATAATGATCTTTCCCTACATGTAGTGGTGAGTTCGAGAGGATCATGTATGTTATTACACATAAATATCACTCAGAAAGGATGAAACTGAACAAGACAATGAAACAAAAAGAGAACAGACTTTGGGGTTGGACAGATAGGGTTCTCTATCAAAGTAATTAAACCTCCAGCAACTTCAGTTTTCTCACTGTGAAACCAAAACTAAAACCCTTAAATATCCTTACTGGAACTAAATAATAAAATGAAGATAAAAATATAGTAAGAATAGCAGAAACAGCAAGTAATATTTTAAGCAATTTGCCAGTGTCAGGCACTATTCTAACTATTTTATATGACTTATCTCAATTACCCTTACAATAATCCTATAAAGTAGGTGATATATTTACTATCCTCGTTTTACTGGTAAGAAACCTGAGGGTTAAAGCAGATAAATGAACCTGAGTTCAGAAACATTATTTAAACCCAAATTTATATAAATTTAAAGCCCATATGCTAATCCATCATACTGGACTTTCTCATCTCACATTTGATGCTCAATAAATATTATTTTCCTCCTTTATATCTCTTCCTTCATACATATTCAAGTTATACAATTCTTTAACTCTCCAACAGAACAAAGTTTTTTAAAAAATGAGAAGATGTGCTTTATGAGAATAAACCCTCAGTATCTTAATTCATGTTATAAATTTGTCAACAATTTGTAACACTAGGAAGCCCTGCAGAAAAACATTTTAAAGTCAAATGTTCTTTATAGAAATAATATAATGGCACAAAAGATGGAACAACTGAAAACAGCTTTCCAACAATATTCACAGTTCTAGAATGGTCATTGTAATAAACATGTAATTTAAAAATAAAAAGACAACTCATTTCTTTAAAATGTCAGAAACATAATGAACCATGAGTTATACCTTGTCAAGCTTAGAAAATGACAAGAAAATACTACTTATTCCACCTGAGAAGGAAGACTCCAGCCTTGTATTTCTCTCATCTAAGGCCAGATTTTTTATGTGACCATGAACATGGTACTCATTCTCTCTAGAGTTCAAGTGTCCTTGCTACACATGACAGGCTAAGTACTGACTTCAGTACTGAGCAGTTTATTTGGTTTTTAAAAGTATTTTTAAAATGAACATGTTCTGGCCAGGATAGCTCAGTTGGTTAGAGCATCATCCCAACATGCCAAGGCTGACTGTCGATCTCCCATCAGGGCACATAAAAGACTCAACCAATAAATGCATAAATAAGTGGAACAACAAATCAATGTTTATCTCTCTCTCTTTCTCTAAAATCAATCACTAAAACAATTTTGCCCCGGCTGGTGTGGCTCAGTGTATTGAGTGCAGGCTGCGAACCAAAAGGTCACTGGCTGGATTCCCACGTGCCTGGGTTGCAGCCCAGGTTCCCAGTTGGGGGTGTGGGAGAGGCAACTGAACCATCAATCAATGTTTCTCTCCCTTCCTTTTTCCCTCACTTCCCCTCCCTCAAAAAATAAGTAAATATTTTAAGAAGTTTTTTAAAGAAAATGAAAAAAGTAATAATACAATTTAAAAACTGAGCAAGGCACTAAGGGATATACATTTCAATGAAACCAGTGAAATGCAAACAAAAACAGAATGAGATTTTTCTAGGCACCTTCCCTGTGCTGGGTAGGAAACAGATCCCAAATAGCGCAAATGAATAGGTGGTATCCATGAATATACCTAAAATGGGCTAGTCACACATTTCAATCCACTACTAAATGCAAAACTTAAAAAAAAAAAAAAAAGGCGACAAAGGAGGTAGGGTGAGGATACATTACTTTTGATGTCACAATCTCATGACTCAATGTGAACACATCATCCTTAAGAGCAGCACTGGAAAAAATACAAAGGAATGGAAGCCAATGCTATGAAAGGGTTTCAAAGTCTGGGGATGACAGGCATCTTAGAAGGCTGATGAGCTGAGGTCAATCTGATGCCAGGTTAAATGCCAGAGAAAAGATACAAAGTCTCAACAAATATACTCTAACAGTTGGTTAAATTTTTGAAAATTTCCACTACTAGTATGAATGTGCCTAAAAGATGAGAGACCTTGAAGAAATCATCACTCCTTAGGTATCTGAAGAAATCCACAATGGGGAAAAAACGTCTAGCAAAGACTCTGTTTCTACCATTGGTATGCACCATTACACTTATGCAGCTTGTTGAAAGGACAACTTATTTTTCTTTTGGATCTATTTCTTGAAAATGATCCAAGTAAAATAAGTACACCCATATCTAGTAAGCCTAGAGAGTAATCAATATATTTGAAGAGCACACTAAATTTCATCAAGAAAAGTAACCCAATTAGAGCAGTTCACTGTGAGGTCTTAACTATGTTGGGTAAAATCTCTATCTGACCCTCCAGATTCCATAAGATATATACTCTACAAGTTATGTCTTGTTACATGCCCTAAAATATCACCTAGATGGTAGCCTAGACAATGACATAAAAAAAAAAAAACAACTACACACTTA